CGGAGCACCCACTAGATGGCACTGCAGTAGAGGGCTCACTAAGGTGAGCTCCACATTGTAGTTATCTCGCTCTACTCCTGCGCGAGCTCTGTAATGAGTAGTGACAGCTAGCGGCGCTTTGCAGCTCTCTATAAAAACGCCAGCTTACTCCTCTCTCTCTCTCTCTCTCTCTCTCTCTCTCTCTCACACAGCATATAATATGACATTCATGTCATGTAATTCATGACTACGCGCCACGCCCATGGTGCGCTCGCAGTCGTTTCACTAGTATGAATTGAGACATGAGCAAAGCGGCTGTGCGCGCAACCATGAACGTCTACGGTAACGAATGAAGAGCACCTCTTTACAGATCTTTAAGTCGGTCCTTGGCTGCTTCGCATACAACTCAGGGTTTCTTTTGCAGGGAGATGTGTGCGATTCTTTTTCGACGCTCCACCACGCACTGCAAATCCCGCAAACCATCGCAGCCGACTGTACCCTAGCTGGCCTATGAACATGTTTCAGTGCAAGAGAATAACAATCTCCAGCCAAGGTATCACCGATTTACCACGGCAAAGTTGTAGCGCACTGAGGAAAACACGGACGAAAAAAGTGAGGACAAAGCGCTTCAGCCTTGATTTTCTTCATCTTTGTCCTTAGTCCGCTGAAACTTTCACAGTGTGTCACTACTACAAGCCTATCCCCACATCCTTTTAAACCCACATCGTTCAAACTTCATCCCTTTCCACCTCTGCACATAATATTGAAGTTATAAACTATTTTTATCACTACAATTAATTGCCAGTAACAGTCGCTCTAAGAATGTCGGAAAGCTCCAGCAGACTAAACGTAATGCATGTAATCAGACACGTAAACTTTATAACGTTCGCGCCGAAATAGTCATCCTTACTGGGTGTTCACGATTTCATGTATATGCGCGTTTACTTCGCGTTCAGGGCTGCAACATGTATTACGAAATGATGGCAACTAAAATTGGCTAATCTTATCGACAAACGTTATACACAAATATGTCGCTTAGTGTCACCATATGTTGATGACATGAAATACTTATCAGAATCCTTGCTCACTATTCACCAGCGGGTATACAGCTATAAAACATTTCGACACTGTGACTTTGCTTATATGCTTGTAACAATTTGCGCATAGGATAGCTTAGGATGAGTTGTGGGGCTCTACCCGTAATACCGCGGTATACACAGGTAGATCACCACGACAACAAAATAAAAGCAGTGTACTAATTTCTAGACAATGCGAAGACTGACGTTTCTGTTTGCTACCTGCAACATCCACAATAGAAAATGCAACCCTAGCAATGATGACGACGTTCAAGCAGCAGACTCCGCTTGTAGACTGCATCAAAAAAAAATAAAAAATTAAGAAAGAGAAAAAGTGAGCTGCGTTCTCTCCGCATAGCATACGACAAGCTCATGGTTGGCGACACACCGGGGGGCAAGATGGGAAGCCCCGCGATCGGAACAAAAATCGAGTTTGTCCCTGCTGCGTGGGCACATTTCTCGGGCTTCCCTCCCTATAGCTGCTCTCAGTTGTGGAGGAAATGACGCTATGTCATGCGGCATGGTCTAGCATCTAATGAACGAGCGTGGTGTGGGAAAAACCGCGCTTTGGCGTCTATAAAAACGCCAGAAAAAAAAACAGACACAAAAACGAGGATTCACGCCGAAGAGCGAGTTCTATTCCACTCGACGTTCTCTTCTTAATTCTTCGTCTTTCCCAATGTCAGCCCCTTACGTGCGGTAGTTCCAAACAATTTACAAATCGCACCAACCAGGCTTGCGAGGTGCGCACAATTCGGACAGCTCAAGAAAAAGTCTGAAAAAATTATCTTAGCCTTCAAGAGTAGAAAGCGGTATCGGGCCCCGTAGGCATCGCCTTAAACCGTGCTCAGCAGCATGCACAGCGCAAATTCGGTACAGGACATCGAAAGGCACACACAGCTTCACGTTAACAGCTCGAAAAAAAAAAAAAACACGGCCACGTACAAGCGGCGCTTGCCCCGTCTCTTTCCTGTCAGTGGCCATGTTGCTTTTTTTGTCACGTTATTAACCTCAAGTATGGACAACCAACTATCCCAGCCAGCTAGTTTATTGAGCTGCACACACAGCACTGGTAAGCACTAACTCGCAACTATCTTTATCGCGAAAGAAAATTTTTCTGCATATATATATATATATGCACAGTCATCCTGCGTAAGAGCACTGCCTATCATAACCAGATGCACACAAAAATAGACATATCGCAAGAATGCAGATTAGACATCCAATCTAAACATTAGCCGCCTGGAAAGGACGTCGAAAGACGAAAGTCTTCATTCTGGAAACGCTGCGTGAGATATGGCGCCGTCTGGCAGTAATGTGAACAAACGAAAGTTTTTGAGAGAACGTAGAGCCACTGGTAGGTGGCAGCACCAGGTCGTTTTAGTTAAAGAGCCAGTCAACAAGCTCCGACCTTTTTTTTTTCACACCCCCCCCCCCCCAAGCAAGCTCGGCAATTCGCAGAGTAGGCCGCAGCGATCACGTTTTCTGAATATTACACAGCTTCGCACCGCGCAAAGCCTCCATTTCGAAAAACAATCCCCGCGCTCCTTTGCTACGCATGCCAATGCTATTTCCACGAAAAGTGACGCCCCCCCCCCCCGGCGATCAGCGACAAGACGCAGCACGCAGCTAGTCGACTGGTCTGAACCCGGTCTCAACAAAGAGTTGTGGAGTCAACGACAGTTCCTGTTCCCACCCACAGCTACGACAGAGCTATTCGATCATACGAGCGAAACTCCACAAAGGCTCCATGTATCGAAATACGGACACGTCACTGATACAGCTTTTGGAAGCGAGCAGATTGTCGCGCCACCTCTTGATCAGCACACCCACTATTAAACGCATTATTTGTGTTTTGTGTTGCTGCTCCCAAATGGCGCGACAGTCTGTTCCCGAAAAATCGAACTCTCGAATAATCGGGCCAACTTAATGTCCAGGTGGTATTCGAACGCAGCCTTGATGCAAATCGATGTCGGCTGCAAATCGAGCGACTGGGCTACGGAGAAGCATCGGCACGGTGTAAACAGTAAACAACCAGGCATCGCAGCAAGCGGAAGTGCGTTGCGACTGAGCATGTTCGCCGATGACGTCACTTTCTGACGTCTCTTCACGTTGCTGAAGTGGGCGGAGTCACGACGACGGGATACACCTTCCCCTCTCTCTGAAGAAGAGTGGCGAGGCCGCGAGAAAACTTTAAACCAGCTGAAAGCGATGTTTTAGCCTCTGTAACTTTCTTAATGTAGCACGTATTCACCAATTTTTTTGCGGCAGCAAGTTCACGATGTGAAAGTGCGCATATTTATCTTTTTACCAATTTTTGGACCTTGGGGGTGTTTACTGTTCCTTTAAAGCCCCTAAATTTTCTTTTTTTTTTAGCTAAGCGTAGGAAACACCTGCTTTGTCATTTATAGCATCGCATTGTCAGCGTAGAGTATTGCACCATTGGGTCTTTAGAATTAAGCATGTATGCATTTTCTAAATGAAAAGACACCTACGTATTGATGTTGCGCCTCAAATATGCGTAATTTTTGCTTTTCGAGTGACAATGCTCGCAAGTATAAACACAGCCACGAGACATAGATGTGTGGGCTTAGAGCACGCGCTTCACCTTTCACCGGGTGGCTGAATCGTTGAAGACACCAACAGACAGACACAGACTGAGAGACAAAAAAATTTTCTATTGAAGTTCGCGTTCATATACGGACGCGTATAGGTTTTAATTACACCTGTGCGACTTCGCGCTTTCTGGTGGTTTAGCAACTTTAAACTGTCGACTCCTTTATAAACTTCTCACTCTTCGGCTATTCACTTGTTTTGACATCTGATGCCATACAGCGATTCTGCCAAACAGTATTACATCCGTTAAGAAGAATCCACCCTCTGCATGGCATAAGCACTGGCGTGGCTCCGTGGTAGATTACCTGCTCGCCAAGCAGAAGGACTGGCCCCTTCCCGGACCAAACATTTGTCATATTTATTTATTTGTATGCCCATACCAAACTTTCCGCGAAATGAACTATTCAACAGAATCGCGTTAAAGTACGGTTCATTTATTTGTCGCAGGAATCGAACACATGCTCTGGACGACTGCCGGCTTTGTCCACCAACGCAGCAGACTATAATTGTTGGGGGAAAAAACGAAAAGCAATGGCGAATACCCCGCAGACTCAACACTTGCCTCCATGTAGCTATAGACACGAGATTAGAGGAGGTACTCTTGACATTCACCCGACCCACTTTTAGCCGAAACCGTAAGAATAACAGACATTCTCTACGTTCAGACAACTTTAAAAAATCACAGCATATCCACGGAGTGAATGATGATGAGTGGGGCGAAGCTTCGAAGGGTTTTATCGGCAAACCGTGAATCATCCGCTGGCCGCATCCGTCCGTCGAGCCGGCCGTCTGTGTCTGTCTGTCCATCCGTTTACCCGTGTGTCTGTCTGTCTATCCGTCCGTCTTTGTGTATGTGCGTTCTTTTGTCTGTCCACCCATCTGTATGTATGTCGGTCTGTCTATCTGTTCACTCATCGCTCCGCATGTCCATCCATTCGTCCGTCCGTCCGTCTATCCATTCATTCATCTAGTGAACAATCCAAGTACCACCATCTCGCATTTTTCATCATATATTAATCATATAGAAGTACTGCAATCCAGCGGACATTGCAAGGACTAAAACGAGAGATGGCTACTACATACAGGAGACGCACGACCGGCGCCTTAAGGAGCTTCACCCCTAAAACATGGCTTTCCACGTCGGTCGTACAGACCATTAGATGAAGCGACCGGAAGTGTCTTTGGCTTACAACCAGTACGAGTTGTAGGGAACGGCGTTCCAGGCATTAGCTGCTTTTTGGAGGAACGCCACCGTTGCATTCAGGATGGGTGAGACTGTAACGGTAGCCCGTTATGTCTTTTGTTATTCACGAGCTTTGAGAAAAGCTGTAGAAGAAAGAAAAGAAAACTTGTCTGTCTTTATTGCTTTGCAAATCACGCGCTCTTCCCCGCCCAAACGGCCTCACCAGTCGTCCGCCAGGCGCCCACGTTGCTCCCACAGTGCTTGAACAGTGTAGCCCAGTGTGAAGAGCAGCGCCTGCGCGGGCCTCGTCATGGCCGGCGCGCAGTGCAGGAGGCGGCAGCCGTCCAAGTGGCGCCACAGCGCCTGCGTGTACACCGCCAAGCCGATCGCCGTGGCAGTAGCGCGGACCAGCGATGCGCCATCGTTATCGCTGCCTGCCTCCCTCTGAGAACACACGATGGACGCAAAGAACAAAAATCAAAGTTGCAATGCGGCCTAGCCATTATGCGGCGCGTGTTCTAACACAGTCTCGCATGCGAATGCTTCGAGCCGAATCGGGAAAAAAACTTGGAACACACTTAAGCCTTCAGGAGTAGAACGCGACATCGTATCGCTAGCCTGGCTTCGGTTCTCGCTTCACGCCTCGACCAAGCCGTAAGAAAACAAGCGCCTGCGCGCGTAACATTGGCCGCTTGGAACTATCCTTGAACGCCTATTGCAAGCACCGTAGCGTGGTGCCCACTGCGTCACAATTCTTCGCAAATCAGCGAAGGACCCACTGCGCGTGCGTAAGGCAACACGCGAACATACGCAGCTGTTCCCTTTGTTGGTGCTTTTGCTTAGATGATCAATCATGAGTGAGCGCTATGTCACAGATGGTCCTTTAAAACACCCACTTTTTGCCCGACTCGCGTGTTTTGACGCTTGGCCCAATTCTACGCTTCTGCAACACAATATTACAAGCGTTAAGGAGATTCTCCCAGTTCGTGAAATTCCTTGCGTGCGTGTGGGCGCACGCGTGGGTGTGTGTTCTTCGAGAAGATTCAGGCAATAACATCGCTCTGTGGCTGAACACCGGTTTGCCGCTAAGAAGGCCTTGGTTCGATCCTCACTTGAACCGAGGGTTTTTATTAGTTTTTTTTTCATCGTTCCCGGTTTTTCGGTCGCGAACAATGCTGTTTTTTTTTTTTTTTTTTGCTCACAACCAATGACACCGATACTGGAATTTCTCCGCAACGAGCTCCATATACGGCCGTCTTATCGGGGCATGGAGTCCCGTTAACAGACGAAAGACAGCGTGGCCGAAGCGTACATTGGCACACCACGTGTACTGCGTGACGAGCGGGTGGTTCAAAGCTGTCAATCTAACAGACTAAGCAATCATTCACCAACACCCGCCACCGTCTAAACAAAGTGTGCAGCCATGTTTCTGTGCCTATTGCCTTGCAGCAGGCACCCTAGGCGAGTTTACAAGGGCCAATCTCACGGACACAGATGTTCCTTCACGGCACGGTTAAGGTGCAGACCGAGAAGAAAACGAACTGCCAACAAGGTCCATATATCATGCAGCAAAAACTCTGCCGGCAATTTTCCGCTGAACGCCATCAGCACGCATGTATTTCACTTCTGTCATGTCCGAAGCCGCCACATAACGCGATAAACACACGTAGCTTGAGTCATCCACATTGCCCGTGTTCGCGGAGACTTTCACTTGGTTTCGGTGCACCCGTGCCGTCACGGTGGAAACACGAGGGCGCTTGCAGTGTGCACTGACAGCGCGTTGTACTTGCCTCTCATAACATGTTCTATTAGTTTTGAATATGATATCGTACCAGCGGCACTTCTGTTAACACAACGCCAAGTTGAAACCAGTGTTTCGGCTTGTGAAACAGGACAACTGCAGTTTGAGTTCTTTGGCCAGCGTAAGCGTGTATGTCAGCTTTTTAAATGCGAAGCATTTCTTAGCAAAATTTGACGACTTTGAGCGTATCTATCTATCTATCTATCTATCTATCTATCTATCTATCTATCTATCTATCTATCTATCTATCTATCTATCATCTATCATCTATTTAACTATCTATTATCTATCTATCATCTATCTATCTATCTATCTATCTATGTATCTATCTATCTATCTATCTATCTATCATCTATCTATTATCTATCTATCTATCTATCTATCTATCTATCTATCTATCTATCTATCTATTCACCTACGACTTTTACAGCAAAAGCCGTTGTGAGATCACAACTCGGATCTCGCGCAGCGCCGTAGTCTGCCACCACCGCCTCCGGTGTCCGTACCCACATCGTGCAAAATCAGCAAAAAAAAAAAAACCTAGTACCAATGACACAGTGGGCGTCAAACCCGGGTTCGCTGGGTGCCAGCCCAGTATTCTACAACTGAGCAACGCCGGTGCTTGGGACTTGCTGGCAAACTTGCCTTAAGCTGGCTTGATTTCGGGAAAGCAACCGCGTTAATATACTTATAAAGCGTTTTAAAACAGCGAAAGAACAAGCAGTCGTCGCACAATGCGAATAGCGTAACGAGTGAGTCGTCCGATGCTCCTACCCAATACAGGCCCGCAGTGGTGGTCTAGTGGCTAAGGTACTCGGCTGCTGACCAGCAGGTCGCGGGATCGAATTTAAGCTGCAGCGGCTGCATTTCCTATGGAGGCGAAAATGCTGTAGGCCCGTGTGCTCAGATTTGGGTGCTCGTTAAAGAACCCCAGGTGGTCAAAATTCCCGGAGCCCTCCACTACGGCGTTTTCCATCATACGGTTGAAGCTTTGGGACGTTAAACCCCACATATCAATCAATCAACCCAACCCATTACAAACACTTGTTTTCGTTCAGCTATCAACTGCGCCGCACACCCGCTTGAGGCCTAATTCCTCATCATCATCAGCCACTGCATGAACAATTGGCACAAAATTTCTCGCAATAGAGTTTAGCGGATACCACGCTTCTCAGAAGAATGACGAAAAATAGCATAGCGAATGACGTCCTACTACCCTAAAATTTTCATTACTAATGCCGTATAGTGGGCATCGAGCAAGTTTGCTTGCTGCGGTCGCCCAATGAGTGTTAAGAACAGGCTTTGAAAGGCCGTTCTTCTAGCTTTCGCTGTGACTGTGCTGCGCCTTCCACGCAGGCCTGGCGTTTTTAGCTCTCCTAGCAGTTTCGATAATCGGATCTATACCAAAATTAGTATGGCATAACATGACTGTATGACGAGTATAAGCGACTAGCCACAACATAAAAACCATGACGTGTATGTCATGATTTACAGGTCATGTTGTTGCTGCTCTAGCGGTGGTTTCGTTCGCATCACATGTTGCAAAACCGGTATGGTAGGACATGACTGCATGGCGAACATAAGTGGCAGGCCCTAACATGGAAATCATGACATGTATGTCATGTAAGTCATGATTGCACACCACGTTTATGTTCGCTCGCGGTCGTTTCAATAGCTTCACATATGCCAAATTTGGTAATACGGGACGTGAATGAATGAAGAAGGTATATGAGTGGTTCAAGCATGATAATCATTATATGCTTATCTCGTAAAGCATGACTACATGCTACGCTCATAGCGCACTCATGGCCGTTTAGCTATGGCTTCACACATACCACATTTGGTATTACTTGACGTGAATGAACGACGAACACAAATGCCCGGCGCCAACAACATAATCATGACATGGAAATCATGTACGGCATAATTTACGTCCGCCTAGTAACTTTGCGCTGATTTCAATGCGCCATAACAACCTTTCTCATTCGTGCTTCACATATCATCGATTCCAACTGTACGCGCGATCTGTCATTTTTTTTATTTTCTTAGAGTGTGTAGTCGCATAAACAACAGGCATATATGTATGCTCGGATTCGTCCTGCCGTCAACACGGCAAATCACAATGTTAAAGAGATAGTTACATTCACTTTGCGGCTTACTTGTGCACAGAAAGTGCTGGTAAAATTATATGCGTAGCTTGAATAAAAATGCGCGAGTCCTTTCGGACTTCCTTTAGAGGTGAGACCACCCTCGCGTTGCGGCGTCACTCACCAGAGCGCACAACCTGAGCAGAGCGGGCACCACGAGGACGACGCGCACCAAGACGCTGATCCAGAACAGAGGGCTCGTCAGCGCACCCATCGCAGACACCGTGCGAGACATAGCATCTGCGTCAGAAACAACACTCGGGTTTAATTACGGCCGAACTATACGCGGTAAGTTCAAGCGCTGTTTTTTTAGGGGCGAAGCTCCTTATAGCGGCACCCGTTCGTCCCCCGTAGTATGTAACAAGTATAACATTTTGACCTCAAAGGTGGTGCCAGTGAGAGACTTCTTCTGTGCGTTGTTGAACAATAAAAAATAGTGCTCAATGCACATGTCAATGGCTGCTAATGGGGAAGGAGAGACAGGAGCATTCGGCTTTTAGCTAACGCGCAGGCTGCGATCACCATTAGCAGCCATTGGCATGTACATTGAGCACTATCTGACTGAAAAAGTTTGCTACGTCATAATCGCTGGGCGTAACCTCCTTGGTTTTCGAAAGGTTTAGCGAGCGTTCGGCCGCAGTGCCATGAATACAGTGAACTAGTATATACCATGAACTCGAGGTGGTTAAAGGTGGAAAGTGGACCCGAAGCGCAAGCCGTAAAAAAGTGTGCGTGTGCCACCTCTCGTTTAGTTCTTGGAATGTCCGCTGGATGGCGGTGCTTGAATATGGGGAATATATGATGAAAAGATGCGAGATGGTGGTAATTGGAGTGTTGAATAGATGGACGAACGGACACATAGACAGATGCATGGATGGACGCATGAACGGACGCAGGAGCGGCTGCATGGACGAACGCAGGGACGGACGCGCGAACAGACGCACGCACGGACAGGCTGATGGACGCATGGACGGTCACACTGACGGACGCATGGACGGACGGAAGCAAGAACGAATGAACGAATTCTTCGCCCCACTCTCCATCATTCACCCCGTGGATATGCTGGCATTTTTTTTTTCTTTGAAGGGAAGTTGTGAAGGGCTTTACCATTTTCATGTGTCTGCATGTTTGTGATTTTACGCATGGAAATGACTCAGCTTTCTTAAAAAAAATATGGTCCATTTTTGCACGAGGATATTGGTGAAAGTTTGAAAGAGCGACCTGCTGTAAAGACGTTGCCGTTAGTCTTAGCCACTCACCCGTAACCAGAGTGACCATTGGGATTGTCACTGTTCAAGTATTCGTCCTGTCAAATAAAGAGAAGAGAGAGAACACAACTTTATTGTCGTCAGACTTAAGGAGGTAGGTGACCCGCCAGGTTGAACCTGATGGCCACCTCCTCTGCCCTTTGTACGGCCTGGAGCTGAACGGCCAGGCTGGTGGAGGTCAGAACTGCCTCCCACCCCTCTGGCGAGGGAGCGGCTAGGAGATCGAGAGAGGGGGGATCTTCCCTGCAGGCCCAGAGAATGTGATTAAGTGTGGCTATTGAGCCACAATGCGAGCAATGCGGATCAATCGAGTCGGGGTATATACGTGCATAAATGTATGGGCACGGAAATGAATGTGTTTGCAAGCGGCGCCAGATAACCTCCTGGCGCTTAGTTAGCTTATGGTGCGGGGGTGGTTTTGTCTGCCTCGAAAGACGGTAATATTGTGTGATGTCATGGTAGGATGTCAAGGCTTCACCAGGGTTTTCCAAATCAGAGGCGGGTACCACCGCTCGGCTGACGAATCCTCGAGCATATAGGTGGGCCGCCTCGTTCCCTGGGTTCCCCGCGTGAGCCGGCACCCATACCAGCGCAATGGAGGATAGTGCGTCTTCCTCAGCATCTGTAAGGAGACTGGGCAATAGTAAACGCAGAGTTGTGGGGGCCACAATGCCACGTGCGAAGTTGGATATAGCAGCCTTTGAGTCACTGAGTATAGTGGTGAATCCGGATGCTGCTGCTAGCGCTATCGCCGCTTCCTCAGCTTCTGTCGTATTAAGCACACGGACAGAAGCAGCCGCTTTAATTTGAGGTGAATTGGCGTTGTTGCCGGGGAGAGTGATTACACTTATTGCATATGCTTTAGTAAACTCTCGGTATTGGGCGGCGTCAACGTACGCAACGGTTGGGTTGGACGCGTACGTTTTTTGCAAGAATTTGGCCCTCGCTTTCCTTCTACCGTCGTGATGGCTGGCCAACATGTTCTTTGGCAGTGGTTTTATGAGGAATTTCTTTCTGATGTTGGGGGGGATGACAGCCGGATCGTTACCCGTAGGAGATACCACATGGTCAATGTTAGCAAGGATCCAACGCCCCGTCCTGCTTCCCTGTAATCGGTGAATTTGCGCCGTAAGATGCGCTTCAAGAAGTTCTTCTAAGGTGTTATGCAGCCCAAGACTGAGGAGGTGCTCTGTCGATGTGTTTCGGGGGAGACCCAATGCCACCTTATACGCTTTGCGTAAGAGCCGATTTAGTTGGGCTCGCTCAGATTGAAGGAGGTGCAAATAAGGGAGGGCGTACGTGAAGCGCGACAAAACGAAGGCTTGAATTATCTGTAGCAGTTCTTTCTCCTTCATGCCTCGATTGCGAGCGCTCACTCGAGATATAAGATGGGCCGTCTGGTTCACGGTTACGGTGAGACGGTCTAGCGTAATGTTGTTGTGGTGGTTTGTTTGCACAATGAGTCCGAGTACTCTCATGTGGGCCACCTGCTTAATTGGCGTGTCATTGACATACACGTTAATACTAGGAAGTGGAGTCTTAATTTTGCGGCGATCTGGAGGTCGCAGTAATAGTAGCTCCGATTTGCTCTGGGAACACTCCAAACCCGCTTCTGACACGTGCTGAACGACTACGTCGGTTGCTCTTTGAAGAGTCTCCTCGATTTGACCATCGGATCCCACCGTCGTCCAGAGCGTGATGTCATCTGCGTAGAGGGTGTATCGCAGGCCGGGTATCGTGTCAAGTTTGGGAGGTAGTGACCTCATAGCGAGGTTGAAAAGGAAAGGGGACAAAACAGCTCCCTGCGGGGTGCCGCGATCACCGAGTGTGATGAGCTTAGAACGAAGGTCACCCACTGAGAGTTCAACCGTTCGATTAGATAAGAAAGCACGGACGTAGTTAAATATGCGTTCCCCGGATCGTAGTTCGGACAGACTGCCTAAAATGGCACTATGCTTCACGTTGTCAAATGCTTTGTGAAGGTCCAGACCGAGCAAAGCCTTGGTACTAGTGCCACTCTCAGGTCGTAGGAGATCGTGATGCAACTGGATGAGCGCATCCTGAGTGGATAGATGGGCCCTGAAGCCCAGCATTGTGGGGGGAAGTAGGCGGTGCTCTTCCGCGAAATTTTGCAAGCGACAGAGGACAACATGCTCCATTAGTTTGCCCAGGCAGGAGGTCAACGAGATTGGACGAAGATTCTCCAGGTCGAGTTTCTTGCCCGGTTTCGGTATAAACGCGACCCTTGCGTGTTTCCATTCTGATGGCAAATGGCCGGACCTCCAGCACTCATTCATATATTCAGTAATGGCCCCTACCGACTTTGGATCGAGGTTGCGCAGCGTCTTATTTGTCACCCCGTCAGGACCGGGTGCCGATGTTGTACGCAGTTTATGTAGCGCTATGCAAACCTCACTTTCCGAAATCCTACTCTGCATACAAACTGACCCTATCACCGGTCTTCACAGATTGGCAGTTCTAACTAATGGAGACTTCAAACGAAAGTAACGAGATATTCAAAATTCCCCAGCTACCGAAGATGACGTTTTGTGGAGGTGCGGGTGATTTGCCCCTTTCAAATTCGCTCTCGCCACTTCTTCCTCAGCCCTCAATATACGGAAACGTTACGCTCTATGAGGGCGAATGCGACTAGGAAAGCATACTCATGTGTAGGCACCGAAAAAATAAATTGTCTCAGGCTATGACAACAACAAAGCATTTTTTTTTATTTCTGCCTGTTTAGGACCCGCCGAACTCCTCGCTCAACCCCAAGGACACTATAACCTCACACACTCCGTGTATAGTCGTAATCGGTGAATTTCGCTGCTGATACCCAACATTACCTAGAGCTCTAAACTGACCACCGAAAAAAAGCAATCGTGCAATGTGATGAAAGCGACCAATAATCCACCAATGGGCGAGATAAAGTTACTAAAATAGTAGTGCACAGCTCTCTGCGGCATTTCCTCCTCTACGGCGCATGCGGAGAAGTCTCAACCAGTGGGCGCGCATTCCAGGCTGAAGTCGGGAGTCGGACAACTGGTGACCATTGGCAACTGCTGGCCTTCAGAGAACATTGCCGAGTGCAAGACTATGTCCTTAGTTGTGATCGGCTGCCACGCATTGGTAATCGGGGAGAGGCCCCTTCAATGGTCCATCCGAATCGAGAAGGCGCAAAGGAAGTACTCCAAAAGTGCCTTCCAGCAAAACGCTGAGACCAGAGACAAAGCAATGCTTCTCGGCAGCAGTGGCCGCGTCAAACGCATTGGGCGAGGGATATATACTTGCCAGCAGTCATGCCAGGAAGGCCGGAGAGCATCCCCAGAAGCGTTCCACTCCATGGCCTGCGGAACAAAACATGACACATGTACGAAACGGCGGCAGCAAGGGGAAGATGGAAACTTGCGATGAAATAAATGAACCGGGGTTGTGTACTCCAGCCGACGTCGGCTGGAGCACACAACCCCGGTTCACATATTTTTTTTTCAGGTGCAAAACACCAGGGCAAGTTATCTTTTCACCCAATTTTCTTTCTTTACATTTATATCACAATTAGGTCTAATGACTTCCCCCATACTTTCCTTGGCATTATTGTCTGTTATATCTCATTATTTGTGTCGAAAACACGGAAAAACGAGCCCTTAAGTATACACTTATTTCCTTTATTCATTAACGAGGGTCTCGTACTGGCAGACTTGGTCCCTTTAGGTTGTATACGGGGGACTATTGGTCAGCTGCCAGCTCGATTAATAAGTTCACATGCAATGTGACGCCAAACAGGTTCATAAAAAGTGTGTTACACTCGCTGCTATGGCTACTGATGGCACTGACTGATACTCCCACGTTTAAACTCACATATATACCCCAGAAAGTGGCTGGGGGGATAGCCGCCACGGTAGCTCAGTGGTAGAGCATCGGACGCGTTATTCGAAGGTCACATGGTCGGTTCCTGCCCATGGCAAGTTACCTTTTCTCTCTCTCTCTCTCTCTCTCTCTCTCTCTCACACACACACACACACACACACACACAGGGAGAGCTCAATTTTGCATAAAGACCTCCCCCTCACCAGCACTCTTTCAATTCAATTCAATTTTATTTACCAGAAAACAATCTGGAAGGACACCCGGGCAAAAAACTGTCGCAGCAGCTTAACGAAAGCCCAGGGTCCCTTACATGGCAGTAGCACATATATGACACATATCAACAAGTGTTTTTGCATGGCATTCACATCGAAACCATCGTACATGCAGATCAGCATACATCACACATACACATAAAATGTAACAATGACACTTCGCACAAGAATGAAGGGTAATCCGTTATTATAAAGATAAAAAGTGGTCACGCAGATGTCTTTTTATTTAATGCGGTTGTGTGTTTGTACCGGTTCAGTATGGTCGGAATATTATGAGCTAGTGATTGCAGGCTGTAGTTGTTCCGGGACCAAGGCACCTTCCATACTTCAAGGTTGCGTGTGTGTATCGTGTTGTTGTGCGGTCCTAACTTAGCGAGTGACGTAAAGTAATTTTTAACAATTTGGGATGAGAAATACATTTTTTCTAGTAATTTACATTCATACAGCCTGTCAACGCGGTGTAATTTGTGTTTGAGAAATACACCATGTGTGGCTGAAAGTCGCTCAACATTTTCAATAGAGCGGAGAATTTTCTTTTGAATTGTTAAAAGTTTTTGCATGTTGCATTTTGAAATTGTTGTCCAGACAAAGTAACAGTAGTGGACATATGAGAGGAATAGACCGTAATAAATTTGCAGCTTTGCCCCACATAGCACCGGTAACTGCAGATAGCTTACTGCAAAGGTAATTGATGTGGGTACCCAACGTAAACCAGAAGAAAAATATACTTCAAGAATTTTCAATTCTTCGACCAACTCAATACGTTGATTCTGAAAGTAAATGTCATTATGAATGACGAAGGGTTTATTTTTAGCGCGAAACACGATAACGTTCATTCGCCCGATGCAAGGCTCTCGGGGCGTTTTCTCTCTGCTTCAGGGGCCTTCGACGACAGACCTCACACGAGGGGCGCTGCTATCGCATGCGCCCTTGGTCCATCAAAAATGGCCCGCTCGTTTCATCCGAGGTTCAGCCGCATTCGTCGCCAGCGCTCGCAAGCTTTCACTAGCTCGCGGAACACACGTTCCGTGGGGCCATGTTACCAGTGATGCCAATTTAGCGGATTTTATTTCATTTTGACGGCAAAAAATCAGTCTAGCGGCTAGCGGATTTTCTGACGGGCCCTTTTTGTTCATAGGGGGTTTCTGGCGGATACCTCACGCAGTGCACCGATTCAAAATCGCCCTGCAAGAAACCATTTCCGTGTTCTCTAAAAATGCGGAAATTGTTTAACTTCAGAGGCTCCTGTTCACTTGCTCCACCTATCTCAGACAAACAAATCCGTGAGGTTTCAAAATGGCGATCGCTTTCTAAGAAATAAATAACGGACGAGCTGCGATGCACCAATCTGTGGACTCTGCGCGCCCTCTCGTGTGAAGTTCACTCCTATAAGGACGCCTGCAGCGAAAACCCGTTCGTTGAGCTGGCCGGATTTGCCACGTCGATGCTTGTGTTGCCGCATTCAAATGCCGAAGTAGAGAGGACATTTACTCAGCTTAACATAGTAAAATCCAAGCTGGGGAACAAGCTGAAGCCGGAAACAACAAATGCCATCCTCGTCGTAAGAGCGGGGTTGAAGCGACACCAGAAAAGTTGTTTTGATTACGAACTCCCCGCGGCAGTTGCTATTGCAATCGGGACATCTGCAACGTATGCGAAATCAAGTCATCTGTCTGGTCCCTCAACAAGTACCAGCGGTCCTGTGGAGAGGGTGTGAGACGACAACAGCGGCGACAAAGACCTCGATGTGTTTTTCGTTGACCTGTGAGTTTTTTTTTTTTTCATCAGTGCGAACATTAATAACTTTTAGCCTCATCTGTGGTGAGGTTCACCAATGACGACCACCGCAGCACTGAAGCCTCAAGTGTTCTAGTTAGACTCCTTGAAAAACTATTTTATATGTTATTTCAGCTCTCGTACTTTTGAGGAGCTTTTAGGAATGATAAAGGTATTTAACATACGAAACTGCAGTGTTTTTGAATAAAATACGCCCTAGTGGGAAATTTAGCGGATATGTTTTAGAATCTAGCGGAATCTGGCAGATTTCTCATAGCTTTTTAGCGGATGTCTGACGCTCAGCGATGGCAACACTGCATGTTACTTAATTGGACTTTATGAGGAACGTGACGGCAATACCGACAGCAAGAACACAGGTAGTGTGTCCGTATCTATGCTATCACGAAAACAGAAAGAGACACGTAGGTAGAAAAGATACATGCTACACAACTGCTCAAGTTGTTATGTTCACGCATTTGCACACGAGAAAAAGCGATCTACTGTAGCGAATACCTTCTATTTATTCACGTGACTTCTCAGCCTAATAAATGTAATGAAACGCCTCTTCCTTCTTCACAATGCTTGACTTCGCGTTTCAAATATGTCTACGGAGCATGGGAGATGGTATTTAACCGTAGGTTAAATAGCTCTAGCAATGTTCAGTCTGCAGGCGCCCATAACCTATTAGCTAGGGCAGCAGATACATTTCATCCCGCTTGCGGAGAGTATATTTTTTCGAAGCACAAAGCAAAACGCAAACGCGCACTATAGCCACTTGGCTTGGGCTGAGTCTCCAGCTTCCCAAATAAAAAGCATATTTAGGCAAACTAACTATTAAATATTTCTTAACTATCGCTACCCCTGCTTCCCTGCATCAGCCTGTCATGAATGCTCGTTCACGAAAAAAAAACAACTGCGTAAATGCGTGATCTCCTGGATTCGACACGAAATACTCCAAATAACATATAACCTGTCACTCAGGCCGACGGTGTATCTTGTGTAAGTTCATAACGTACGGTACGCAATACTTCATACGGTGTATCACAAATGCATCTTCTGATACACCGCCTGCCAAAGGTATTATCATAGAGGCGCAACATACCCGAAAAGTATCTAAGCTAGTTTCTATGATAAAAAGTTTCAGCGATATTGCACAGCCCTGCTACTACGTTGACAAGTCGGACCTTCCACGACCAAGCTGGAAAAAAAAACACAACAGTTAGCCTATTTTCTGCTATTGTTCGTTTCTACCGCACCTACAAAGCTTCGCGCGATTGGTGGTGCCCATTTTCTCAGCAGTGAAGGGTGTTCATTAATCATGCTGCAAGTAAATCATGTATCAGAAGCACAAATACGCCGAACGCAAAAGAATGGCAAACATGCTCAAGAAAGCACAAATAACCCTACCATTTGACACACGAGCACGACAGAAAAGGCAATTAGTGTAAATTTTTGTCACTCTCTGTTTATGGTAACGTAGCACCTGCGTTTATTTATTTCTGTTGAGCGTAGCGAGTTTACCATATCGTTTTTTCGTCAACCCTGCCTTGCAAAAACAGAGCAATCGATTGCAAGCAGCGAATGCAATTCACCATGACACAGCCCAAAAGGAGGCCGCTCCACAAGCAAGTTCTGTACAGATAAGCTCAAGTTTCTCACGTTGTCACTTTGTTGGCTGTATCACATTTCATCCACTGAAACGCAGAGATTTGCCTGTCCGTGTGCGTTGGCGGTCAAAAAAAAAAAAACTAAGCTGGTTTCTATAACCTCTCAGACAGTGTCATTTATACTGATCATTTCATTCCCGAAGCGCCCAACTGCACCGAGAAAGTTTGCAAATACGCTCGTACGTGAACTTATGGGTGATACGACAGGAGAAAAATTACCTTGAGCATCGATACGTGGGACATGCCAGATAATTAAAGAGCATCTTATTCTACTCTAGGAGCAACACATGGACACTTTCTTTCTTGTATTTTGCACGATAGGAGTTTCATTGCACACTTTTATCTATTTATTTATTTATTTATTTATTTATTTATTTATCAATACTGCTACCCTAACATGGGGTTTTAGCGGGAAGGATATAAATATTACTAAATTTACAAACTGCCACACAAATAAGGAGAGAACAGGTGAGGTATGTACGTGCAAATGCAGGTGCTGATAGCCAACCATTTCTTTCATTACTTGCATATGGGCGTTTATGGAAGCTTCGCCTGCGATGACCACTTATTTTGCAACAGGCCCAAATTATGCAAGTCAGTCGGACACTGCAGCACCCCAGCTGGCGTCGGTTACGCAGGCATGCTTTGCAGAACGATTCTCCCGGCATTTTAGGGGCGAGCCTTTTCTTAGTCTAACCTTGCCCTGCGTCAGGCGTAACCGGCGGCATCAGACAAACGGACAGACAGACGGACGGATGCGCGGAC